CTTATAGTTTAGAGTAGTGTGAGAAAAAGGTGTGCAGACTGAATGTCCAACTGACACATGATTAACACATAGGATGCTGTATCCAAGAATTAGAGCCTAGCCTTCATTTCAAGCACACAAATATTTTTTGAGAATTGATAACGGCACATTAGGTCATAAAGTCAGGCAATACATTTTAAGGAACTGGTATCTAACTACAATACAAATAAACTAGAAACCAGTGGTACCATTTCGAGATTCCTTAACATTTTTGGAAATTGAAAAAGAACTAAACTTTGGATCAAACAAGAAATATTGGAAATAATCATGTTAATGACATAAAAAATACGCCGACATACCAAGCCTTGTAAGATGTAGTTTAAGTGGTATCTAGGATAAAAAATCTAGGCTTAAATGTTTTTGTTAGAAAGGAATAAAAACAAATGAACTAAACCATCCAGATTAAGTAAAAAAATAGAATAAAGACAGAAATAAAGATAAATCAATGACAGAAAACAAAGATGGAAGTGAGAACACAAAGCCAGGGCTTGTTTATTTAACCCTTTGCACTTGGATGTTGAGTGTGGATAATGTCGAGTGGATAATGAGAAAAAAGTGAGTGCAAAGGGTTAAAGACTATTGAAACAAAATCTGTTAAGATTGAGCAAGAAAGCAGATGAGAATGAAAAAAAAATGAATTTTATAAATGCACCTGAAATTTTGAAAAACCTATCTTAAAACCACTAAATTGTATCAGTAATTTAAAATTTTCCGCAAATACCAGATGTATCTTACTAGTAAGTTGTATCAACTTGTTCACATATAAAATACAACCACGATACCAAATCTTAATTATTAGTTCATTAAAAATAATAGCAACAATGTATTTGATTATGTATGCTTACACGTATGTGTGTATGTATACAGTATGCTTATAAATGGAATGAATGACATCAATGATAAAAGGGACAGAAAGGACAAATGGATTATTTTGTTACTATAAAGTCCTCACTGCTCATGAAGCAGTATATTATTTAAAAGTGGACTTAGATTACATGTAAATGTATATTGCAAACTCTAGAGCAACCACTAAAAAAGGGATAACCGATATGCTAGAAAGGAGAGAAAATAGAATAATATAAAATGTGCAATTCAAACTGTAAAAGGCAGACAAAAGTGGAAGACAAAAACAGGAACAAAGAAGAAGGGCAACAAATAGAAAACAGTTAACATTATGATAGATATTTCTCCAAATACAAATAATTACCTTGAATGTCAGTGGTCTAATTGGACCAATTAAAGATTGTCAGAGTGACACAAAAAACAAGACCCAACTATATGTTTACAAGAAACACACTTTTAAATGAAAAGACACATAGATTAAAAGTAAATGAATGGAGAAAAAAATACTATGGTAATGCTAATCAAAAGAAAGGACAAGTAACTATTAATTTTAGAATAAACTGTAGAACAAGGATTACCATCAGGGATAAAAGATATAGTACATAAGTGACGAAAGAGTCCATTCTCCAAGAAGACATAGTTCTTAACATGTATACACCTTAGAATAAAGGATCAGAATACATGAGGCAAAAACTGACAGAACTATAGGGAGAAATAAATCACTATTATAACTGGAGATTTCACCACCTTTTTATCAGAAATGAATGGACAGATCCAATAGGAAGGACATAGTTGAACTCCACAATACAATTAATCAACTAGATATAACTGACATAGAGCTAGACTATTTTATCCAAAACCTTAGTACACATTCTTCTCAAACTCACATTGTCAATTCACCAAAACAGATGGCTGAGCCATAAAATGTATCTTAAGTTTAGAAGAATAGAAATTACATTAATATCTACTCTCAGACTATAAGGGAATTAAACTAGAAATCAATAAAAGAATTGGAAAATCTCAAAATATGTGATTAAACAATACACGTCTCAACACATGGGCCAAAAAGATACCCAGAAAAATTTAAAAGTATTTTGAACTAAATGAACATAAAACTTACCAAAATTGGTGTAAGGTACTGTTTAGAGAGAAATTTATAGTATTGAATGTATGTATTAGAAAAGAAGATCTAAAAGTAATATTATAAGCTTCCACCTTTGGAAACTAGAAAAAGAAGTAGAAATTAAATCCAAAAAGCAAGCAGAAAAAAAATAGAGCAGAAATCAATGAACTGAAAACAGGAAGTCAATAGAGAAAATTGATGAAACCAAAAGCTGGCCTTTGAAAGACCAATAAAACAGTAAGCCTCTATCTAGCCAGACTAAGAAAAAAAGACAAATTATTTGTAGCAAAGATGAAAGAGGGTTATCACTACAGAACCCATGGACATTACAATAATAAAGGAATATCATGAACAACTGTATGTCCACAAATCTGATAACCTAAATAAAATGGACAAATAAAATGTCCTTGAAAGACAAAATCTGTGAAAACTCACACCAGAAAAAACACTCTTGAGTAAGTCTGTATCTGCATTTAAAAGTGAATAATTAATCACCGTCCAAAACAGAAAACGTTAGGGTTCATTGGTGAATTCTTCTAAACACTTAAACTATACCAATTCTACAAACTTTTAGAAGACAGAAGCAGAGAGAATACTTCCTAACTCATTCTGTGAGTCCAGCATCACCATAATACCAAATCAGACAAAAACATTACAAGACAACTACCAACCAGTATCTTTCATGACCATAGATATCAAAATCTTCAAAAAATATTCAGCAAATTGAATGTAACAATGTATAAAAGAACTATACACCAGAACTAAGTGGGATTTATCCTAAATATACAAGGCTGGTTCAACATTTGAAAATCAATATAATCCATTATATCAACAGGCTAAAGAAAAATCACTTGATCATATTATTAGATCCAGAAAAAGTATCTGACAAAATCCAAACCTTATTCATGACAAAAACTCTGTAAAGTAGGAACGGCAGGCAACTTTCTCAACTTGGTAATGAATATCTACCGAAAATCCTACAGCTAACATACTTAATGGTGAGAAATTAGAAACTTTCCTAAGGTCAGGACAAAGGCAAGGATGTACCTTCTCACCATTCTTTTTTTTTTTTTTTTTTTTGAGACAGAGTCTCGCTTTGTTGCACAGGCTAGAGTGAGTGCCGTGGCGTCAGCCTAGCTCACAGCAACCTCAAACTCCTGGGCTCAAGCAATCCTGCTGCCTCAGCCTCCCGAGTAGCTGGGACTACAGGCATGCGCCACCACGCCCGGCTAATTTTATATATATGTATTAGTTGGCCAATTAATTTCTTTCTATTTATAGTAGAGACGGGGTCTTGCTCTTGCTCACGCTGGTTTCGAACTCCTGACCTCGAGCAATCCGCCCGCCTCGGCCTCCCAGAGTGCTAGGATTACAGGCTTGAGCCACCGCGCCCGGCCTCACCATTCTTTTTGAACACTGTAACAGAAGTCCTAGTTAATGCAGTAAGACAAGGAAATAAAAGGTATAGTGCTTGGGAAGGAAGAACAAAAATTGTCTCTGTTAGCAGATGACACGATCACCTATGTAGAAAATCCAAAACAGACAAAACTGGAACTCATAAGCAATTACAGCAAGCTTGCAGGATATATGGTTAATATACAAAAGTAAAGTGCACTCTTATATACTAGCAATGAACAAGTGGAATTTGAAATTAAACACCCAATGTCACTTATATAAGCATCCCCCAAAACTAAATAGGTATAAATCTAACAAAATATGTACAATATCTACATGAAGCAAGTTACAAAACTGATGAAAGAAATCAAAGAACTAAAGTTAATATGCAAAGGCAAACAACCCCAAATAAATAACACAATATTAAAGGAGAAAACTGACATTAGAAGACTGATACTAATTGTCTTCAAGTCTTACTATGAAGTTACAGTAGTTAAGATAGTGTAGTACTAGTGAAAGAACAGATTAAAGGAACAGAACAGACAGCCCAGAAACAGACCTACATAAAGTAAACTGGTCTTTGAAAAAGGGGTAAAAGCAATATAATGGAGCAAAGATAGCCTCTTCAAAATACGGTGCTGGAACTGGACATTGACATGCAAAAAAATGAATCTAGACAGACACTACACTCTTCACAAAAAACTCAAAATGGATCACAGAAGTAAGTGCAAAATTATAAAATGTTTACAAGATAACAGAAGAAAAATCTAGATGACCTTGGGTCTGGCAATGACATTTTAGATGCAATACCAATGGCACAATACATGATCTACAAGGATCTTTCTCCTCTCTTCCATTCCTAACTCCAAGCAACCATTAATACATTCTCCATTTCTATTATGTTATCTTTACAAGAATGTTCTATAAATGGAATTATACTGTTTGTAATTTAGGATTGGAATTTTTCACCTATCATTCAAGTTGTTGCATGTACTAATAGTTCACTGTATTAAGTAGTATTTGATGGTATAGATCTATTACAGTGTGTTTTTGGCTATTCAAGTAAAGCTGCTATGAACACTTATATATAGATTTTTGAGTGCATGTAAGATTTTGTTTATCTAGGATAAATGCCTGAGACTTTTATGGGCACTATACTGCCTAAAAGACTGGAGAAACTCAGACCATTTCAAAATAATTATTAAATAAAATATACTACTGGTTGGAAACTCATAGGGGTTGGAGTATTTTATCAGTAGAAGTAGAGTCCTACATTTTTTATTAAGGAAAATTTTTATAGTATCTAAAGTGTCAGTAAAAGAAGGGAAGCATCAATTGGCAACTAAAAAAACTTCTAGAAATGGAATATATTAAAAATATTCCCCAAACTAAACTAGTCAACCTACTGAAGGCTCTTTAGGATGAGACTACCACTACCTTTGAGGTCCAACTTCAGGGGTCACTTACAGACAACTATAAGGGTAAAAACCATCTTCAAAACAATTCAGTTATCGCAACAGGAAATGGGCAATTACTTTCAAGTTCTGAGTATTACTACAGCCACCTAAATCTGAGTTGCTAAAAGAATCAATATACTGCACACTTTCTCTGAATTTATTTATTTAGAGATAAAACACAGCCATTCAAAATCGTGGAACACTATCAACACACACAATAAGGTTTCGGAATAAGTTGAATTGTTATATTAAGTATTAATAAATACTTTTAAAGCAGCAAATGTAGATTTCAAAAGCTTAATTAGACACTAATGACACATAACAAATAACTAAGAGTTTCTACCTAAGTTTACTGTCATAATGCTTGATTTTCAGGTTGAAAGATTCTAATAATCTACATATTTCAGCTACTTGGAAGTAAATACAAAAGCACTTTAAACATCTTTTAAACTGTAGTGTACTGTAAGCAGGAGTTTATTCTAAAATATTTCATCATTCTGCTGACCTCAGTTTATGGGCAGAAGGCATGCTGAAGATCAGCAATTCACATCACATAAATTATCCACTAGTAATGATAAAATCAATTAAGCATGTATTTTGAATAGAAATTATTTTTAAATGTCACAGAGAATGCTAGGTATTGTTGGCAGACTTGGAATTTCCCAGCTTTGCCACTAATTAGCTATTGAGCTATTTAAGTCTGACCTTCATTTTCTTCATTTTTAAAATGAGAGAACTGGATTAGATTTTATCTAAGTACCTACTGAAGTCTAGCATTTTGCAGTTTCTTCTTGCCCTTTCAAAAATTTACCACCTTTGATTTTCAAAACTTTCAAATGGCTTTCAATAACTTCCTTCTAACTCATGATTATCCTTTCCATAACCTTGTCTAAATCCTTCAGTTCCTAGTATCTTTGTTGAACCCAAACTTTTGCATGGGTTTATAATGACCAAAACAAAGTTCATTTTTTTAGTGAAAGTCGTCTCTACCCAAGGAAGATTATAATCTCACTGGGTATTCAATTTAGTACCTATCACCACCAGCCTGTCTTTAATGACTCTGTGCTTCAACCTCCATACATAAAACCTACACTACTGTCCAGCAAACACTCATGTTATAAGTTCCTTACTCTCATATCAAGGGAAAAACCTTAAAAGATTTTTCAGACAACTGACATTTTACAACAGCTACCTTCTTTGCAGTCTCCTGAAAGACAAAATATCAAATATTTCAAAAGGCAGCCATATATTTGCTTTTATGCTTTCTGAAACAGCTTAAGGTCTAACACAATTTTAAACTCAAACTGTCAAGTAGTTTTGTTTTCACTCTTAATTTCACAGATACAGGGCAGAGGATAAGCCTAACAATGTTAACATCATACTCATAAAACTCTCCCTTTACAATTCATTCTAATTCACTTATCAATGCACTTGGCAAGAAAATAATAATTGGCAAGCGGTAAAATCTAATTCATGCCAGAACAACACTGGAGAAGTAACATGGGAAGCTCGTACACACACAACTTTACAAAAGTTGGGAATATTTTTTTCAAATGAGTAATGATCAAAGTGAGACTTTCATGCCAGAAGTCCCATTCAGTCAAAATCACGATTTGTAAGAACAAGTGGTGCCACCAGTGTCCAAACATATAGCACGATGCCAATCCAACTGGAAGAGATTTTCACCCAGACAGCTGTCCACTGACTTTTCATCTCACGAGAGGGTTCATACCTAAAATTTAAGGGAAAACTTTTAAAAAGGGTAAAGGGAGTTGGATTATCAGCCACCAAGCTATGATACTTCATTAATTCAGTTGTGTTCTTTGTACATAATCTGTGATATAAAGAGATATTGCTGCTGCATCTAATTTGCTACTTTGCTTTCTACACTGCTTTAATAGCCAGTGTGAACGTGAAAATTGGTAATTTCTTTTAATAGAACAAACACATAAGTCTCCAAAATAGTTATTTCGCATATTACTCTGAGACACTTTATGTATTTCTGGCATGTTATTAGATAGATAGGAGAGAAACAGAATGTAACCTCTGAATAAATATTACTTTTACATAAAAGATTGTTCAAGGTGTATGATACCCCCTTGTCCTGACCTCTCTCCACCTTTTCCCTTCTCAGATTTAAGAGACTGGGAAGGAAATTTATCCCACCAAGGTTAGCTGATTTTTTGTGTTAATGAAATATACCAAAAATCTTTTTGATCTGAAGTCTTAACATTTGATCTAAAGTCTTAACATTTACTACTGTGTTTCCCCGAAAATAAGGCCTATCCATAAAATAAGCCCTAGCAGGATTTCTAAGCATTTGTGCAATATAAGCCCTACCCTGAAAATAACACCTAGTGACGAGCATGGCTACGCAGCTTATCCGCACAACCCATGCATTCTGTCGGGAAGCAGTAAAGAAGATGAGCAGCCCTTCTCATCTGCCCCATGAGAGCTCTAGTGCTTAACATGAGAGATTGGGGCCAATGGTTCTAAAGGAAATAGAGTCACAAGAAATTCAGGATGGAATTCGGGGTTTGGAGAGTTATGATGATGCTCCAGAAGATGATGACTTAACTATATTTGAATAAATGTAGATTGCTATACCGTACTTAAAAAAAATAACACATCCCCTGAAAATAAGCCCTAGGGTGTCTTCTTGAGGAAAAATATAAGACCCTGTCTTATTTTCGGGGAAACATGGTATTATCTAACAGCTAAAGCCCTGAATTACTAAGAACTATTTGGATTCTTATAGCTTAAAATGCTACAGTGTAAGAATTTTTAAAAATATATTCTTTTCAATAATAAAAATCAGTAAAGGCTGCTCTTAAAGAAATAAAGCAAAGAATAATTTTTTCTTCTCCATCTTTTGCTAGTACTGAAAGCCTTACAAATTGTTTAAAAAATTATTAAAAACTGCCAAAACCATACAGTTCAATTTGAATCTTAACCAAATCTTTCTTCTGGACAAATTTAGAATTTTAAAAAATGAAAATACTACAAATCACCACCTTATTATCAGAAAAAGGTTTATGAATTTAGAAGTGATTTAAAAAAGCATAAATTATAGTTTTAAAGAATTCTAAGACTCCATCTATGTTAATGTATTCACACTTCAATTTCATAATTTTCAGAACTTTTAATGACAAAGTTCAAACAAAACAGAAAAAGAGGTACCCTTTACTGCAGTATGTTGGGAATGAGTTTACAATATTAAAAAAATAAACGTATGGCAGATCAGCTATCAACATACATTTCCATAAAAAAAAGTATTAGTTTCATGAAACATTTTATTTTAATCTCTTCAAGATTTGGAACTATTTCAATGATTTTGTTACTGCTAAAGCAAAGAGGTAATAAACTTCGCATTCCTCATGCTGGTCACCTTTCATTTAGCTGTAAATTTTGAAATAAATCACAATAAATCACAAGCAAAAAAGTACTTCATATCACATCATTTTGCAAAAGAGTCCTAAAACATCCATCAGAATTCCGAAATCCAAAATTTTTATGAAATATAAGTACCTGTACCAGTTGGTAAGGGTCATCATGATATAAAGTGAAGCCAGGAAAAGCATGAAATGAAAGAAGGAGTAACTGTAAGTGACACCATCCCTTTCATTATCTACAGCTCGATGAACATCATCACCATCCTCCAGTGATCCATCACTTCTGGCTCCACCATCTTCTATTAATGTTGATTCATCACTTGTTAGAGTCAGTTTATTAACCTGACTATTGTTCGAAGTACGGATGCTGCATGAAAGAAAGTTTAGGAAGAAAGAAGGAAAAGAGCATTTTTAAAAAGAAACAATTCATAAATAGCTAGACTTTTCATTTAAAAGAAAATTCCATAGTTTTTACCTTGAATAAAACACACACAATAAAAAGAGGATTAGTCCTATAATTCCTTGAGCATGCCACCACTGAACTGATTGACCTTCCTTTGGGATTGTGCTTGTTGTATTGTAGCCAATTATGCTTAGTAGACTTGGGTTGCAATTTGTTTCTGTAACATAAATTAAGGCCAAATTAAAATGTTAGAATAATATAAAAATTATTTTTTACAGCATGAATTCTTTTTAACTCTTTATACCCTTGAAAATTCAAAAAATTTTACTGCAAAAGGCACAAATATAACACCAAAATACTTGAAAATAACTTGCATTAATAATAATTCAAAGGTTTTTTCCTTTTAAGTTTTATAGAAGTGATTGAAAAAGTTAAACAATTTAATTTTAAACCACATGTGAGAACTGAGAGATATATTAACTCTTTATTGATTAGGAAATAGGTGAAATATTAGACGACCGTTCAAAGTTAGTAAAATTCTAAAAGATTTAGAAATAAAATGCAGGTGTTCTAAACCACAGTGCACTAGGTTTTCCTACCACAAGAAAGAGATTATAATACTGACTTTATAAGGTTTATATATTTGTCAAAGTACATTGCTAAAAAAGTAAGACAGCTTACAAAAAATACCAGTTGTGAGAACCCTAGCAAACACTTTGCAGGAATGACCAAATAAGGCATAACAACCTACATTTATTCAGATTTATTCTTTTGTAAGAAAGAATTAAAGTAGGGTTGGTCCAAAGTATATTTTTTCCGACATCTGTCAAATTCCATCTTACTAATGAAAATAATTCGGATCTTAAAACCAATTGGATAAAGCTAATCTCTAAAGCAAATTACTAATAATTTTTTCTAACCACTTTAACCTAGGAAAAGGAAGGTTTCTATAATATATAAAAACAAAAAAAACTCCACCTTCATCCAAGTGACAAAGTACCTATTATAAAATATCTACAGAGTTTGTAAACTCAATGAAATGAGATTCAGATAACATATTTTATAATTTTTTAGAAGAAAACATCATTTTCTTCCTCTTTTAAAAATAGTAATTAATTTATAATTTGTTCCCCCTAATTGACTTATATTGGTTCTTATTCCCATGGAATGCTATATAACCAGCTTATGAAAAGATTCATTACAAAGCCCAATGATCATATTTAATTTCATGGTAGTCATAGAGTAATTCAGTAATGTGAAAAACTTATACTATTTACAGTTAAATTAGTAGGTTTTTAAAGAGCTATTATTTCTTTCTATATATCGCTCTTAAGCAATATGCAAACTGGATACACTTCTTGTAATTCTCACACAATTTCTTATACAGGCACACCTCTCATTATATTACACCTAAAAAAAAACAACACACTTCACAGATATTGTGCTTTTTATAAATTGAAGATTTGTGGCAATCCCCTGTTGAAAAAGTCTATTTTTGCTATTTTTCCAACATTATGGGCTCACTGTGTCTGTGTCACATTTTCTAACTCTTATATATTTCAAACTTGTCTGTTGTTATTGTATCTCTTATGGTGATCTGTGATTAGTGGTCCTGATGTTACCAATGTAACATTCCTTTGGGGTGCCATGAACCATGCCCATATAAGAGAGTTAACTGAAATAAATGTGTGTGTTATGAGTGCTCCACCAATCAGCCATTTCTGTCTCTCTCTCTCTTCTTCTCTTCAGGCCTCCTTATTCCGAGACGCAATATTGAAATTAGGTCAATTAATTACTCTACAATGGCCTTCAAGTGAAAGGACCAGTCTTATGTTTTTCACTTTAAATCAAAAGCTAGAAATGATTACGTTTAGTTAGGGAGGCATGTCATAAGCCGAAATAAGCTGAAAGCCAGTCCTCTTGCCTAGCTCAAGGAGTTAGCCAAGCAGTGAATGCAAAGGAAAACATTATTGAAAGAAATTAGAAGTGCTACTCCAGTGAACATATGAATGGTAAGAAAGTGAAACGGCCATCTTGCTGATATGGAGAAAGTCTGAGTGGTCTGGATAGATCAAACCAGCCATAATATTCTCTTAAGTCAAGACCTAATCCACAGCAAAGCCCTAACCTAACCTCTCTTCAATCCTACAAAGGCTAAGAGAGGTGAGGAAGTTCCAAAAGAAAAGTTTGAAGCTAGTTCATGAGGTTTAAGGAAAGAAGCCATCTCCCTTACATAAAAGTGTAAGGTGAAGCAAGTGCCAATGTAAAAGCGATAGTAAGTTATGCAAAAGATCTAGCTAAGATAACTGATGAAGGTGGCTACACTAAACAACAGATTTTCAATGAAGAGAAAACTTTCTGTTGGAAGATGCCATCTAGAAATATCTATAGAGGAGATATTAATGCTTGTCTCCAAAGCTTCAAAGGACAGGCTGGCTCTCTAAGGGGCTAATGCAGCCGTGATTTTAAGTAGAAGCCAATGTTCATTTAGCATTCTAAAAATCTTAGGGCCCCCAGGAATTATGCTAAATCTACTCTGCCTTGCTCTATAAATGAAAACAAAGCCTGGATGACAGCACATGTTTACAGCATGCTTTACTGAAGATTTTAAGCCCAATGTGGGAACTACAGTTCAGAAAAAGATCCCTTTCAAAATATGACTACTCACTGACAATAGACCCAGTTACCCAAGAGTTCTGATGGAAATGTACAAGGAGATTAATGTTGTTTTGTGTCTGCTAACACAACATCCATTCTGTAGCCCACAGATCAAGAATAATTCTGCCTTTCAAGTCTTAATATTTAAAAATACACTTAGGAAGGCTATAGCTGCCATAGTTATTCCTCTGATGGATGTGGGCAGAATAAACAGAAAATCTTCTGGAAAGGATTTACCATTCTAGATGCCATTAAGAATGTTCGTGATTCATGGGGAGAGGTCAAAATATCAGTATTAACAGAGTGTGGGAAGTTGTTAATTCTTATGGATGACTTTGAGGTGCTCAAGACTTCAGTGGAGGAAGTAACTGCAGATGTGGTGGAAACAGCAAGAGAACTAGAATTGGAGCCTGAAGACTGAACTGCAGCAAACTCATAATCAAACTTGAACAGATGAGGAGTTGCTTCTTAGAAATGAGCAAACAAAGTGGTTTCTTGAGCTGCAATCTGTTTCTGATGAAGATGCTATGAATACTGATAAAATGACAAAAAAGGATTTAGACCAATACATAAACGTAGTTGATAATACAGAGGCAAGGTTTGAGAAGACTGACTCCAATTTTGGAAGATGTTCTACTATGGACAAAATGCTATCAAACAGTCTTACATGCTACACAGAAATATTTCTTGAAAGAAAGAATAACTGATGTAGCAAGTTCACTGTCTTTAGGAAACTGAAATAGCCACCTCAACCTTCTGCAACCACGACCCTCATCAGTCAGCAAGCACCAACATCCAGGCAAGACCTTCTGCCAGCAAAAAGATTACAACTTGCTGAAGGCTCACATGATTGTTAGCAATAAAGTTTTAAAAATAGTAAGTAATAAAGATGAAAATGGTATTATTTATATTCCTTATTCCTCTGAAAGCCTTATTTTTAAGTAGCTTATTTCACAAAATTGACAATCTCTGAAAGAAAACTGCAGAACTCATTAAAAACAAATTACACAAACAAACATACCTGGTTCATTGGTCATAGCAGACCACGTCAAATACATTGTGTAGACTGTAATTACTGAAGACTGTAACAACCCAGATCTTGGTTGTGATTCCTACAAAAAAGAAATTAAGCAACACAGATAAATATTGTTACATCATTCTAGAGTTTTGAAAACTTAGAAAGATACAGGCTTCATAAAAACCAATGCCATGAAGAGCATACTTGGATTTTTGGCAGTATAGACATTACAGAAGCACCAATGCAGAGGAGCATGTTGACACTGATGAACGCCTTATTTTCTGAACAACTGGCTGGATGAGTGTAGTAGACAAAGAACAGGACGATAGCAACTAAAGACAGCAGATAATTCAGAGCTGTAGCTGATAACAAGGCTGTGAAAGAAATATAATTGGATAATTAGCTTTTTATCACAAACATTAGGAATTAGGCATGGAACCTGTTTTATAAACAATGTCATTTTATTTAAAAATATGTTTTAAGCAACTAATGTTATCAGCACTATGCAGGCTATGAAAGCAGGGAAGAAAATTAATTTTGATCTTTATTGCTAAAGAATTTTATAGTCATTGCACAAGCTCACTATTATATATTTTAAAGGAGAATAAGTTAGTAACATACTATTATGATTTTTATTAGTAGTAATATCTATATTGCAAAGTTTAAAAACCACATTCACATATATTGGCCATTATTTTTAAAATAAAGAAAAATAACTGTAAGAGGAATACTACTTCAGGTTTCTACAGAACCCTAATTATTCAGTTGTAAACAAGGGCATTAACAGACAAAATTATTTTCATAGTTAATGTTAAACCCACAAAACAATGATGCTTTTCGCCAACTAAAATCTTAAAAAATATATATAGTATGCAAGAGTAAGTCATTATTTAAAAAGTCAACCTAAGATTTTTCTATATAAATTTTAACCTACATAATATTTTAGTCTTTGTGCTAATATGGGGTTAATGTACAAATATTTATATGGATTTGCCTCACTGACAGGGTATTCATCTAACAAATATTTATTGAATGCCTACAATGTTCCAGGCCCTGGGTATACACCAGGGAGAACAAAACAGACAGAAACCCTTACATTAGACTTTGTATTAAAGAATAAGGTACTCTATGTAAGTGAAGTTTCCAAATGACTAAGCTTATTTCTTTGAGCACCAAACTCTTTTGACCTTAAACCCCTGAGATCAAACACCACAAACTAGTTGTATAAGAGAAACATTGAGCCAGCAGATACACTGAACTTGGCCTGCACTATGATTTTAAATTTTTTTTTAGCTGAAAGCCAGATTATTTCTACAAAAAATCCAGATTTATGGCTTCTTCTAAGAAAAATTAGGCAATACTGAGTTTATATTCCCACAAGGCAGCTAAAAGATGGAGCTGTGCAGTAGCTATGCACAGTAGGGCATTCACACCTTCCAATTCATTCACAGTCTCCACTATTTGCACCAAGATTGAGTATGTGCAAACTTAGTCCTCTTTCCTCATTCTTGTTATCCCTGTAAGCATCTATATTTTGATTCCTGATTTAGTGTACAACACTATAGGACTCAAGCTCATCAATCATTAATTGCATTACTATAGAAATTCCCTCAGCTGTTACTGATACATGTAAAAGCATCCTCTGCAGTTATATAAAATGTCCTGGAGTGGCTTTTGGTATTTTTTCTATTTGTTGTTGTTTATGAATTGTATCATTGTGTTTATTATTTCTAACAGTCCTCTTCCCTTTAATATTTTACATACAACCTACTGTAGGCTAGGAAATACTATAAAATACACATGCTTTCAAGAATAGGCTTTGGAACATTTATTTTAGCTATTCAGGTTCCTTTGGATTCTTTCCTGGTTCTTGGGTATATTCCCAGTTAATTTGCCAAAGATCTGCTCAACAAGTTGCTGATATAATGTGATATGATGCCACCCACAAACGTATAAACTAAAAACCTCTTCACGGAACAACTGACCATAAAAATCCTAAGTGATTTTCCTACAGTCTACATTATCTAGTCTCATCTTCAAAGTTCTCATCTTCTTGCAGTTGTTCTGTGAGATAAAAGCTTACCTGCATACCAACATCTCGAGTTCCCTTCTTCCATTTTTTCAACCCATGATTCATTCCATGAATGGGCAAAATCAATAAGTAGGACTAGCTGTATGAGGATGAAGCAAAAGGCACCTGCCATACCTACATAAAACCACACTGAAAGAAAGAAAAAGCACACATACAAGTGAGTGACTGATTTGGCTTTTATTATGCCCTTTCCATAATCACAGTAAAAAGAGAAAATAAAATTTTATATAAATGCTATGTAAACGAGGGAGAAAACACACACACACACACACAAAATGCAACAAAAAACAAACTATAGTTATTATTCCACGTAACAATTATTTGGGATTTCTTTATAAAATATCCACATCAAACAATTTAAGAAAAAGATTTCTTACCAGTTGTAAAAGTTCCTTCTGGAATGAAGAATGCCCCAATAATAATTGCAATTGCTGCAGCAAATTTAAAGAACCAAAATCTAAAACAAAAAAATGTCTTATTAATAAATATTTATTCAACAAATATTTTCACATATGAAACAACTGAATCTTAAAGAACAGCTACATTCTATGTGACTATTCTATTCTTTCTGAGATCCTGAAAATCAAAAAAAATGACTATTACATTAAACTGCTTTTGAGACAGTTTTAATAAAATATTATTTTCCACTGATTCATTATGATAAAATAAGAATATTAGTTTCATTTCACAGGTTTACTTTATTTTATTTTTATTTTTTTTAAAAAAATGTTACACAGTTTTTTCACATTATTTTTTTTTTTTTTTTGCCAGCACTACTAAACATGTGAAGAACATCACAGGTTTATTTAACACAAGTGGGATAACGTGTGAAGGTATAAGGTGTATTGTACAAATAAATGGTTTTAATAAATGCACAATGTCACCATCCAAAACGCTGATATTTTCAAACAATCAATGACTAAAGGAACAAAATAAACAAAATCAACCTGTTACATCATATTTTTTCATTCGTATTTATATCCCACTTGTTTATTCCCGTTGTCTTTAGTAGCACATGTCATTAGATAAGCAATAGCAGATATTAAATCAAAACATTAAAATAGAATACTGGAAGTGGTGCTCTATATCAAGGGAGATATATAATAGATCTTTTTTAGCATAAAAATAAAAAAACAATATAGATTAGAATTAATTACTAATTATCAAGGCTATTATTTAATACCCAAAGTATGACATTCTATAGTACAGACAAGTTTTTCTTAAATCTTGTCATTCATGAATAGACAAAATAATTCTACAAATTATATAAGTTTATTTCACCTTAAAGTTCCTTTAGATAGACCAGAAATTACTGAGAAGAGGCTTCCCAGACTTTTATATTGAAGTTTATTAGAAAACCTACCCATTGTGCACTGCAGCTCTAGGATCACTGCTACTCTTCACCTTAATCATTAGTAAAGATAGGAGAAGATAGAACATAGCCAAGCCAAAGCACAAACGGTATACAGCTTTATAGCCAACCAGAATATTACAAGGGACGACACCTTTCTCATTCTCACAAAATCCAGGAATCTAGAAAAACAAAACAGAAGTTTATGAACCATAATTTTTTCACTGGGCGAAAAATCTATGTAATCAAATAGTTTAAGATAAGGCTTGGAAAATGGAAGTTTACAGATTATGATGACCATCCAGATGAGTCTGATAGAGTTTAATCAAATAAAATGAAAAAGAGTTAAACTTCCATGTGAGCAAATTATAAACTACCAGTGGCAAGCCTAAACTAGATGCTTATTTTGAGCTAAAGATTTATGCTAAATTCTTAAAACTTGCATTCAACTCTGATATACTGAACTGCATGTATAAAATAAAGTCAATAAAAGTTTAAAGAATCATGGAGTAACTAATTCTGCTTCTAAGTACTAAAGAGAATAATGGCTTTTCAAAGCCAGTATTACTATCAATTTTTAGTTTTTATCCCTTATTCTACAAGTGCTGTTTTTGATCATGAATGGATATGGCTCAACAGCATAACAGCTGGCAGTTTCATGTTTTAACCCAGAATCTTAAAAAAGACTGTTGGCCATTTCAGAAAGTCATACTGGAATTAGAGCACAAAAAAGAATTTGTATGTGAAAAAAGTGAAACTATTATTCAGAACTACATATATTATTCATATATATATATACATACACATATATATGAATGATTTCCTCCCACTCCTTCCAGTCCCCCAGCACGCTAAAGAAACTTTTTCAAGATACTAGTCATGTACTAGTTGTCAAACCCAAAGGCTACTGCTTAATCCTCACATTCCTTAATCTCTTTTTTACAGACACTGTCCCTGTCATTCTTAAAACTCTTCCTATAGCCTGTACATTCTCTTGGTTCTTCTTTTCTATTGCTCCTTCAGAGGTTCCCTTATTTCCACCAACTCCCTTAAGTAAGACCTTGTGGCAATGTTCTAGCTTTGCTCATTCTGAATGGTCTTCAGCATAAGCTTCCATGGCATCAATTTTCAATCTCTATCCCCAAGACAGAGCTAGCTCTGATTTCTCTTTTGAATTAATTACACACTCATGTTTTCTACTTCCTGCTTTATGTTGTTATGGACTTTTGTGTCTACCCTAGATTGAATGCTGAAACTCTAACCCCCAATGGGAGGTTATTGAGAGATGGGGTCTTTGGGAGGTAATTAGATCATGAGGGTGGAGCCCTCATGATGGAATCAGTGGCCTTTAGGAAGAGACAGGAGCTGCTGCTTCTTTCTCTCAGCAATGTGAGGAAGAGGATGGCCATAGGTAAGGCCAGAAAGAGCACCCTCACCAGAACTTGACCATGCTGGTACTCTGGTCTCGGACATTCAGCCTCCAGAATTGAGAAACAAATTTCTGTTATTTAAACCTATCATATTCTTTATATATATATTTAGTTGGCCAATTAATTTCTTTGTATTTTTAGTAGAGATGGGGTCTCGCTCTTGCTCAGGCTGGTCTCAAACTCCTGACCTGAGCGATCTTCTAACCTCAGCCTCCCAGACTGCTAGGATTACAAGTATGAGCCATTGCGCCTGGCCTTAAGCCTATCATATTCTTGTCATAGCAGCCTGAACTAAGACATGTAAATGACAGCAAGTTCCACAAGTCAACATGTTAGAAAGCAAATTTATTGTATGTTCCCCATCTCCTTCTACAACCTGATTCTCTGAAGGAAAAAAAATATAGCCACGTTTTAAAATTTTTCTTTCTAGGTTAACAGAAACACTTTCCTCCCAGTTTTCTAGGAATAGAACCTGGTTGTTATTTATGATTCTATCACTGCCAATATTTAAATACCAGACTTGGTCAGTAAATTCCATATCCAGAAAAATCTATTTCCAGCCCTCTATATACTTCTTGATTACACCACTGCAACAGCCTCCATACTTAACTGTTTTACTTCTATACTTTCCTAATTACCAAATTAACCTAAAGCACAGATACTATTTACAAAAAGCTCTTTTATACTCAAATGCTTCGTATTTCCAATCTTTGCATACAAAAGTTCAAATCATTCTCAGCATGACCCTTTTTCCATGAAACTCACTGACATTCTGACACTTGGTTAGAATTACTTTTTTCCTTATATTAATATAGCACATTTTCTGTACCACCATCATAAAATTTAACAAGCTAATTTATCTTACCTTTGTTTGCCTTCCCTAAAAGATTATGAGTTAAAACTGGGATTGTATCTTATTTTTACATTATTCTCTTTTCAATACTCCAAAATCAGTTTTGTGTATGTGTACATACACACACATACACACATACACACACACACACACACTCTACAGCTTCAGTTAATAAATAAGAAAAAAAGACTAACCTTATTCAGTTGTTCTTCCATTCCTGGTATCAACATTACACAAGCCACACACACTCCAACAAGCAAGAAAAGTGCATAGATCAATCTAGTTACAGTGGAGTTGTTTCCACTAGGACAGCATCTGCACAGCAAACATGGGGCACTACCACACAAACATGGTATCTGGGAAAAAGAATATTATTAAAAATCAGTATAGCTTAAAATAATACAATGGAAATTTACATTCTACCTGTTCAATAAAGAAAAAAAATTAGAAAAGTAATTACCAAGGGACAAAGGTATTTGATTCATATACATTATCTACAGTCAAACAAAAAAATCCTTGCACTATATACTAAACAAAATGAATAAATTAGTTAAGACAACAAAGGGAAAGGAAATCATCACCAGTAACCAAAATTTGGCTAAGAAAAGAAATGGAATAATCATGAGAAGCATAGCTGCTAAGCACACTCCAGCCCTAGCCCCTTAGTTCCCAGAAATCATACTGGTGAATCCACAAAATTCTGAGAATTCTCCAATACCTCCAGGGAGGAAAAAAAGTGAATTGGTACCCCTATCTTCTCCCTCTTTTGACTTGGTGATGGTAATAACAATGAAAACTACAACTAGAGTCAGGCATAAAGGATAAGTAAACAACTAGGGCTAGCTAACTTTGTCCAATAAACTCTACTAATAGTAGACCCAAGGGAACAGGATATCTTCCTGTCCAGGAGGGGTGAACATTGATATAGGGTATTCAACAATAAATATCTCAAAAGGGCAAAGAGTAAGTATTCTATTAAGGACTGACCATAAGCTGAACTGAGCTCTACCATACCATCAGACTTCAGAAGCTGGATGAACTAAGACATTCCAGCCCTACACCTGTAACTCTGGGGGAAAAGAGTCTTAGATACCATAATAAAGGAATATGCAGCCAGCCACACTGAAGCAACTGATATAAGGTAGGAACAGAACTGCTTTATATTAATTTTCAGCAAGAAACTTAAAGGTCATGATAACTAAGCAAACATACTCTAGCAAAAATTAAAAATAAACAGCTCTCCTCAAAGAAAGGAATAAAAAAAAAGACATGCAGATTATGGTCTGAAATAAACACAATCAGTAAGAAAAGGAAATTCTCTACTAGTATTTCACTTAAGCTCCAGAAAAATAACAAAAAGCTAAAAAAAAAAAAGATTCTCAAAAATAAAATGAAAAAAGACAGAACAAGATGGAAAGGGTGAATTAAAGAGCTAAAGAAAAAAACAAAAATGGGAAAATCAAAGAATAAGTTAACTATCAAGGAACAAAACAGACATAGCTGAAAATAAAATTACTGATTGAAAAGGCTTGGAATAATTACCATAAATTCAGGCAAGATGGACAAATAGTGACCAGACTAAGCAATCAAAAAAATTATATTAAAGAATGGTTTTTCAGACAACGAACAAAAGGAAATGTAGGGTAGTAATTTCTGAGAGAAGGCAATGTCAGCCCTATGACTGGCCAATCTTTTTGCCTGGAGAGAATGTCCAGTGCAGGGAAGGGGATCCAGGCAGAGCCTGGCAGTCTATGTGACTTAGGAGGAAACAGAGTTAGGAGTTCAGGGAAGCAAAGGCAGCTAGAGTTCACAAGTAGGTAGAGTTCATGGGGCCGAACCCTGGAGAGGACAAAGAAAGCTACACAGAAAGCAAGCTCTAGCAGAGCACTGATCATGTGAATTAATTATTCAAGGGGCTAGACGGTGGTATCTGGGAGTTCTACCACTGAGAGTAGAAAAACCTTATAATCCATGAGTCATTTGGTAGAGATATTAGAAGACTATTACTCAGTACTGGAGAAAAATCAGCCATAAGACTAAAGACTTGTTCCACTTAACAAAGCCTAAAAGCAAACATCAAAAAGATCAAATTCTCTCCAAGTAAATAACCTACATCCAAGAACAAAGCCCAAGAATACTTTTTATACTTTACAAGTATATCTAGCACTCAAGGTAAAATTTACACATGACATCTAATAAAAAATTAGCAGGCATGCAAAAGCAGGAAAATATAATCTATAATGAGAACTGATCAGTCAAAACCAACCTAGAAATGATATAGATGACTGAGTTCATTATAAACAGGACATTGTAATATTATTTTACCTGTATTTCACATGTTCAAGGAGGCAGAGGAACACTTGATCATGTTAAGGATAGACATGAAAGATAAAAGACCCATATCAAACTTATAGAAATGAAAACTAAAATATCTAAGTCCCCCAAACACCACTAAGACACATTAAGAAAAGACTAATGAACCTGAAGACATAACAATAGACATGATCCAGAATGAAAGAGAGATAAAAATAAAGGATCAGAGCATTGTCGAACAACTTCAAGCAGCTTAATATAAGTGAAAACAGAGTTCATGACTTGGACTTCAACTGGAGAGAAGTAAACTAGAGAAATGAGACAAGTGGATCCTTTTGAGGAAATAACCACCAAAACTTTCCCAAACTTAATGAAAACTATAAACTCACAGATCAAGATGCTTAACAAAGCCCTAGCAAGATAAACATGTTGAAAACTACACCAAGTCACATCATAATCAAATTACTTAAAAACAATAACCAGAAAAATCTTAAAGCAGGCAAAAAATAAATTCACATTATATACGTGGAACAAATAAATCACACTTCTAGTAAGAAACATTTCAAGCCAAAAGTCGGCACTGGAAGAAAAAACTGAACATAGAATTGTGGACTCAGTGATGGTATCTTTCAAAAATTATGGCAAAATAAAAACATTTTTCAGACATGGAAAAGACCAGAGATTCCAAAACTAGCAGACCTAAAGTACCAGAAATATTGAAGGAAATCTTTAAAGTAGAAGGAAAATTATACCAGAAGGAAATCTGAATCAACACACAAAGGAATGAAGAACAATAGAAAGGGTAAATATATATATTTTTCTTATTTAAAAAGTGGGCCAGAATAACTGAAAATAAATCCAAAGACATCATAAAAAAGACCCAAATCCCTCATGAATATAAACATAAAAATTATCATGACATTTTATTAAGTCAAACTATAAAAGTAATATAAAAGTATATAAAAAGGATAGCTAATACATAGTGACTATGTAGGGTTTAGTCTGGGAAAGTAAGGCTGGTTCTACTTTTAAAAATCAGTCAATGAAATCCACTGAATTAACAGACTAAAGAAAAAGCATTATGGTCGCGTCAACAGATGTAGAAAAGCTATCTGACAAAATTCAGTATCTATTCATGATACAAATGCTCAGCAAACAAGGAATAGAAGAGAACACTCTCAACTTGAGAAAGGGCATTTACTAATATAATATCTATAGTTCTCATTCATACTTAGTGGTGAAAGTCTGAATGCTTTCTCCTTAACCACTTCAGTACCACGCTCGCTGGCCATGAAACCTTGCCCACAGCTGGCACTCCTAGTCCGCATGACAGTTTGTGCTGTGCACTGACGATGAATCTGTTTTGCTCTTGTGTGATGAAGAAAGCTTTAAAGCACTGAAAGCTTATTTTACTTTACAGGCAGCTTTACTTGTAATGTAAATCAGAATAGGTAACATATACATATATGTTTTCATTACGTTATTTTTAAATGTTCACAATTTTATTTTGATAAATGAAAAATTAGAAAAGTCATATCACGCTGTCTGCTAAAGTCGCTGTGCGCATTCATCTGTGGCTATCGACTATAGTCAACGCTGGTACTGAAGTGGTTAAGATCTGAAACAAGGAAAAGATATCTATCTGCTCTGGCCATTTGTATTCAACTTCACAGTGGAGGTGCTAGCCAATATAATGTGGCAAGAAAAAGAAATGTAAGACATACAAAATTGGAATGGAAGATATAAAACTACCCTGTTCACACATAACTGTCTGCATAGAAAATTCCAAAGAACCTACAAAAATGCAACTAGAACCAACAAGTAACTTTAATAAGATATCAGGATACATGGTCCATATACACATATCAATCATATTTCCATGTATTATTAATAGTAAAAACAATTAGAAACATAAATTAAATACTTGGATATAAATCTAACAAAATATATACAAGATGCCAAATGATAAAAACTATAAAACACTAGTGAAAGAAACCAAAAACCTAAATAAAAGGCAAGATACACTGGGTTCATGGACTGGAAGACTCAATATTTTTAAGATGTCTTTCCAAAGTGATCTATATATTCGCCCAATTCCAATCACAATCCCAGCAGCAGTTTTACAGAAATAAACTAGGTGCTTCAAAAATTTGTATGAAAAGGCAAAGGAACTAGAATAGGTCAAACAATTTTGACAAAAAGCAAAGCTGGAAGACATACGACCTGATTTCAAGAAAACTTTAAAGATACAGAATCAAAACAGTGGTATGGACAAAACGGTGGACACAAAAATAAATGGAACATAATAAAGTTCAAAAATAGACTCACACAAACATGGCCAAGGGAGTTTTGATGAAGACACCAACACAAGTCAACATGAAATTTTTAATCAATGGTGCTGAAATAACTAGACATCCATGTTTTTTCAAAAGTTAACCTTACGCCATAATCAAACCATATATAAAAATTAAGATTTCCTAAAAAAACACAAAAGAAAAAAATGCATACATTGGACCTCATCAAGATTAAGAACTTTTGCCTCTTTGAAAGACACTGTTGAGAAAAAAAAAATGGCAAGCCACAGACTTGAAGAAAATATTTGCAAGAAAGGTATCTGATAAATCATTTGTGTCCAGAATCTAAAAGGAATTCTCAAAACTCAGTAATAAGAAAACAAACAGCCCAGTTAAAAAATGGGCAAAGTTTGTGAACAGATACTTTGCCAAAGATGGCATATGGACTACAAATAAAAACAAGTACTCACTATCACTCGTTATTAGGGAAATGCACATTAAAATCATAGAGATACGACTATACACATACTGGAATGGCTAAAGTCAAATAAACTGATAATACCAACTACTGACAAGAATGCAGCACAATTAGAATTCTCTTAGGGAATGAAAAATGGTATAGCCATTTTGGAAACCAGTTTGGCAGTTTCGTGTAAGTCAACATACACGTACTATATGATCCAGCAATCCCACTCTTAGATATTTACCCAAGTGAAATAAGAACTTACCATCACACAAAAAACCTTTAT